GAAATAATTTGAAATTTGAATATATATTTCTTTATATATGGTCCCATTTGCGTATAAGCCTCCCCCAACTTGCTCAATGATTTTCTATTTGTAGCTACGTTCATTCAATTTTCCCTTTTCCCTTTCCCTTCTTTGATGTCATCAGATCATCTTTTTCTCTGTCTACTTACTCGCCTTTTGCCTGCCGGTCCTAGTTATTTTGTTAATTGGTGAGTCCATCTTTTGTCTCTGTCTACTTGACCTGTCTGTCTTAAGCCATGTCGAATGACTGAGTCTTTTATGTTAGTTTTCTCAGGAACATCTATGATGTATTTTTCGTAGCTTTAAATAGAAGTATACTCTCTCCATTCTGTGCTGACAGGACAGGATTTTGTTTTTTAATTTTTCAATGGTAGTAGGCTTGCATAAGTTAATTTGGCAGGATGTAGAAATTATTATTATTATTTTCATTTTCCTTACTTACTTAGGTCACGGCGACGAGTTACGGGGTCGATTCCTTGTCTAGTCGGTTATACGGATACGACTTTATCAAGCTTTTCATACATACCCCTTAAAATACATCAGTGTGTGCAATAAATAGCATTTAGAGTTCAGTTTGTCGAATTTAGAGTTCAGCCTTCCTTTATAAAGTTAGCAAATAAAAGCTAATTAGCTTTTTATTTGTTGTTAATTCTTCATGAGCTCTAGCTACTGAAAGAATTACAGCGTCACTGTTTTAGCGTTTTAAGGTATCTGTCATGGAAATATTAGTAATCACCCCTATAGAGGGGCACCCAGCATCCTATCAATACATATCTTACTATACCAATTACCTCACCACAAATATAACAAGATTATTCAAAGGATTTCCCCCAATTTGCTACATTACTTTGGCCTGGGAGAGACATTTGGAAGACCTTAGGGTAGATTTTGGTTAAGGCATGAGATGATTAATGCATCAAGGTAAGCCACTTCTATTTACTACTACTAATCATTTATTTTCATTTTAAATTCATTGCTTACACTGTATAGCTATCATTTTATCTCGTTGTAGATAAGGTATGTCTCGGTTTTCCATTTTCTTTTTCGCGCCAACTCTATTAGTCTGTGCTCTTGCCATAAATTGTTTATGGAACTGAAGTCGTGATTCATTAACTATTTGGTGGGTTTATTGTCTTTTGGAAGTTTTTCTTTCAACGTTCAACACTTTTCAATACATAACATTCAACCCAAAACTGTTGTGATCCCTAAATAGAGTTGAGGGGTCAGGTGGATGCGCCAGTCCAAATCACAACTTCAATGCCTTTAAAACAAGGAAAGTCCAAGTCAGTCATGGATAAGATAGTTATCATAGGTCTAAGTTGTTTTTAAATTTTAACTTTTAACTTATTGATTGTTGATCTACCTTATTAATATGATTAACAAAATTTTCGACAACTGCTTGGAAAAATGGTGTAAGTCCTTTGTACTCTACATATCTTTCTACCAAGTCTGAATGGCACTGCTTCGGAAATGGAGGTAACACACTGCCCACTTTTAGCGAGTACCGGGTTTTTATTTTAGTATACATATATATTAATACTAGCTTACCCCGCACACGTTGTTTGTCGTTATAAATTAAAATCGCTATTAAAAAAGAGGGGTTGATAGTAGAAGAGTAAAAATTTATTGTTTTTATTTTCAATGCCACTTTATAAAAAATTAACAAATAAAAATGTTAGGGGTAGACTCATATAACTTAGGGGTATAAAAAATAGAGAGTAACTGATTCTCTGACCTACAGAATATGCATATAAAATTTCATAAAAATTCGTTAAGCCATTTCGGAGTAGTATGGTAACGAACATTTTGAGACGAGAATTTTACATATAAGATGTATGTATATGTATTTATATTACATATGTATATATTTATGTTAATTACGTACACCACTTATGTCTGTTCTTATGTTATTATTTTCTGTATTGTTTTTTTGGATATTAACGGCCTCGGTGGTCTAGCAGTTTAGCACATCGCCTTACTTCCGATAATCGCGGGTTCGATTCCTCGCACAGCAAAAACATTTGTATTTTTGTATCGATCTGGGTGTTTTATATGTATAATATCTATGTATTTGTATTAGTTATCTAGTACCCATAAGACAAGCTTTAGGTGCCTTAACTTGGTTCCAGATGGCGCTGTATGAATTGTCTATGAATATGAATATATGTATAAATAATAGTATAAATAATATATATATTTAGAAGATAAAATCATACTTTTTATATCCATCAAAGGAAATTCACAATCAAATATAACTACAGCGTAATTAATTATTATATTTCTGAAAGGAAGTTTACCGTTATCATTACTACAGTAAATAAATAAGCTGAATTTAGAAAAGATAACAATAATCTATTTTATATTTATCACAAAGAGATAAGTTTGATCTTTGATATATTTTATAATCAGATAATGTTTCACATTACTAAAGTTTATTAATACTGAATGGGCACTCTGTATACAATATTGTTCTAAATAAGATATTATTTATTAGAAAATATTTATTTCTCGTCCAGTTACGTTCACGATGGATTGGTTTTGTTGTTTATTTGTTATACTATTTACAAGTTCATTCATATTTTGTGATGATTGTTTCACTCATGATTTTGAAGCTACCTACAACGACATTTTTTCTTCCGGGATCGGAATATGTTCTTGTCTGCCTGAGTGGAACCATCGCAGATATTCCGATATTGATGTGGAAAGTCCAGATGAAAGAAGTTATTCTTTTATAAGTCCATATACGGATAGTAGTTGTGTACTGTCTAAAGCATTCCCTATGAGCGCTACAGGAATTTTGCAATTTAATATATATATATATATACTAGATTTTGACGATCAAATTACTCTAACTGCATATGAAGGAGTACCTGGTACAAATGACTACAATGTAGTTGGAGAAAGACGAGTAGCTCTAACTACGTCTGCGGATCTAGACTTATATTGGAATACTATAAATATAACATTAGGCGGTAGTGAAAGCTTTGTTGGTTATGTAAGTATTATATTTTTATTATTTTATGTACTCATTTAACAACATGTAATTTATGCCCACGCTTTCTACTAAGAAACACAACTCTACTATTTACCCCTAATAAAAAGACAACTTGCCTTGAATTACTTATTGTAATATAACTAAAAGTGGTAGTTCGATTCCTTGCACAGCACAAACATTTGTAGTCATGAGTACGTTTGTTTGTATTGGCCTGGGTATTTGTGGGTGTGTATGTATAATACATATGTATGTAATTACGAAAAAAATATCTACGTATCAGTTATCTATTACCCATTACACAAGCTGGCTTAACTTTAGTTTAGATGACGCTGTGTGAATTGTCCTGAGATTATTATTATTATTAGTGGTGGTATGATAGATATTACGTACACTATATATATATAGATATTACGTATATATATATATATACATTTAAACTATACCTATACTAACATTACCTTACCTGCGCAATTTTGGTCTGGATCACACCTACTTAACATTTATCATTTTATTTCGCCCAATTTACTAAAAGTAATATAGAAACTGTTAGTTAAATGTTATAGTATTAAGGTAATATTACCACTGGTCTTTATAGCGTTCATAGGCATCATCGTTTATCGTCAGAAGTTTTTTTAATAGTGAGCATACGATCATGCTTGATATTAAAAAATGTTAAATAATAAACTAAATAGTAACGAGCCATCTCTATGCATTACATTATATTATATACATATATAATATAATATCTGTGACCTAGCGGTTTAGTACGCCGTTTTATCTTCGATCGTCGCGGGTTCGATTTCTGGCACGAATAATTTTATTACCTATACCTACCATTACCATACCTGTTCTATCCAAAGTTATTTGTAGTAAAGATTATTATTACTCTACCTACATAGATTACAGGAGTAACTTAACTAACCATACTTGTTTGCCACCTACGTGGTATATAAAATGATCTATCCTAACAAATCCTATCAAGCTGGCTGCTTGGCCGTTAAAATAGGTAAGGCACTCTTCTGTCTGGTCCTTGGTTGTTGTCTGTTGGTCCAACTTATTCTTTGAATGATGGGATGGGCATGCACACACATTTGATGTAATAGAATTAATATATAATTGCAATAATAGTGGTGTAAATATAATTATGCTACAAATATTTGGTTAAACAAAAATAATTAGATTAATTCATATTAATATTATAAATTACAAATAGAGTCTGTCTGTCCTAATTTGCCTAAACTAGAAAATAGTTTGTATCACGTCACACAGGCTGTAAAAAGCAGCGAAGTAGTAGGAAATAGTACATTCAAATTCAGAGAAGAGCCTTACAACCTGTTGTAGATTAAACCTCTTTATATTTTTATAGCCATATAATACAAGCAAACTTGGTTCTATAAATATGTCATACGCAAGAGATTACAGTATTATTGAGACTGGGGGATTAGTCTATTTTAGTTATTTTTATAGAATACTAGCTACTCACCCCGGATTCGCACAGGTGTACATATATTATACATATATACATTCCTCTTGAATCATTCTATCTATTTAAAAAAACCATATATAATATAAGCAACACAATAAAAACAGTCATTACAACATTTGTCTGTTTTATAGAAACACTAGTTTTAAGTAAAGTGAAATCACATTTTCATACATGAGATAAATAATTTCGACAGTGTAACGCATTTTAATAAAATATTGAAAACCCTTATTACGAAGACAGACAAAATCATCTATTCAACTGCTGCCTTTCTTAATGTTAATTTTTATTTTATTATTTCTTCTTATTTACAGATTACTTTTACAGGATTCGCGGCTAACTCTATTTTCCTAATTGATTCTTTCCGATATATTCCGCCACGTTATGTTAATGAAGACGGCTATTGTGAAATTTACACTGATGCTGCTAAAACTACTACAACAACAGTTACAACAACCATTATCGACACAACAACCACCGACTCAACGACCACCGAGTTGACGACCACCGACTCGACGACCACCGACTCGACCACCACCGACTCGACCACCACCGACTCGACCACCACCGACTCGACCACCACCGACTCGACCACCACCGACTCGACCACCACCGACTCGACGACCACCGACTCGACGACCACCCACTCGACCACTACCGACTCGACCACCACCGACTCGACCACCACCGACTCGACCACCACCGACTCGACCACCACCGACTCGACGACCACCGACTCGACGACCACCCACTCGACCACTACCGACTCGACCACCACCGACTCGACGACCACCGACTCGACCACCACCGACTCGACCACCACCGACTCGACCACCACCGACTCGACCACCACCGACTCGACCACCACCGACTCGACCACCACCGACTCGACCACCACCGACTCGACCACCACCGACTCGACCACCACCGACTCGACCACCACCGACTCGACCACCACCGACTCGACCACCACCGACTCGACCACCACCGACTCGACCACCACCGACTCGACCACCACCGACTCGACCACCACCGACTCGACCACCACCGACTCGACCACCACCGACTCGACCACCACCGACTCGACCACCACGGACTCGACCACTACCGACTCGACCACCACTAGTACACCAGCTGAAGTTTGTGTTGAATATACGTTTGATGAAAACTTTGAAAATATATTTTCGGATCACAGTAATCGTTGTCATGGAATAATGGGATCTTGGAATTTAATTGAAGATGGTATCATACCCAATTATATTAATACTGTTACCTGTACATCATCAACCCCATTTATAATGGCTGGTGGTGGAACCTTAAAAATAGAGTTCTCTATGACTTTATCCGGATTTCAAAGTATTGCTGTAGTTGTTGAAGAATATGTGGAAGATGGTAATGGAATTATCATGCAGTCTCAATCAATTTCATCCTTGGAGTTAACTGATGAAAATAATAGTCAGGTTTTGGAACTGAACTTGTCGAGAGCAGGATCACGGCTAGGTTATGTAAGTAGTATTTTTTTTTGTAAAAGGAATGGCAAGGAAACCGTTACCACCTGATGGTAAGTGGCAACCATCGTCTATATACCTTCCATGAGTTGTTTAAGGTGTTATTCCTCCGAACATTTTAACTCCACTGCCATATCTAAACTAGCGAAAAACAAGCACAAGCAAGCTGCTTGGAGCCTGAAAAAGTTGAAACGGCTATCCAAATATACATTTTTACCACTGTAAATGTTATTCTTCTATTTTACTTTACAAAATTAAATATCATGTCAAAAATAATTTACATAATTGTTATTTCCTTATTTTACCATTGCATATAATAACATCCTGATGCGATGAATCGTTTGTGTGTTAAGATTTCACACTGAAACGACTCAAGAAATCAGAATTAAATTTTCAATAAATAAGAAAATCTAAGACGATTTAAAGATAGTATAAAATTTGCTGTTAATTTTATATACGGCATCATTATTGTCAATTAATTTAATAATAAAATTGTACATGGTGTTGTGTAAATGCTTTTTTTTTAAGTTTTTGATTGTCATTTCGCATGAGCATTTAAAGAATATGATGCAATGCCGTGGAAAGTGTTAAGAGCTCCACCTAATAGAGTGCGGCTTTTAAATTATGAAGTTTGTTAATTTTATTTTTATATTTTTCCTTTTAGTTTACACTCCTGGGATATACATCAACTCATCGCTCTTTGATTATTAAATCATTCAAATATATCCAGTCTACCGGTGAAGATGAAAACTGTATCTCTTTTGGTGAATTATCGAGATAAACCTACATGACCGTTTATAATGAAATATACTATAGTAAAACATTGTTTATATATTTTACGTTAATTTTATTTAATATGAGTTGATTCCATTCATTAAATTATTTTTCGTATGAACAAATAAGTATTTTTTTTATATAACTGAAATAACGAACTATCTGATAGAAAGTAAACATGTGATGTCATTCTGGAGAACTAATGTGTCATGCCTCTGAAATACAACTTACAAAAGTAAGTAAAAAAATTATGTCGGTAAATAGTAAATAGTTAAAATATCAGTGGTGCTTTTCATGTCATATATATATTAATAATAATAACCCTGGATAATTTACACATTGCAATCTTGTACCAAGCTTAGTTGATATTACCTTATTTATAATTGAAATACTAATATATTTTCTTTCTACATAATATACGCAGAAAACACTCAGACCAATTCTTACTAATATTATAAATGTGAAAGTAGAGATGTTTGTTACGCTTTCACGCAAAAACTGTCGATCTTCATGAAATTTTGTATACATCGCATATCTAGTACAATACTGGTGTAATTCAGAAATATGAAAATTTTGAAATTAGATTTAATTCCACAGTTATAAAGTGGACTTTCCAAAATTTGTAATTTTTGAGTTAAGCCAGTATTATAATAAGTGTGCGACATGTTCTTGGAGGTATAAGAATAAACATGCGATACTTTTTATTAGAATAAATGTTTTTTTTATAAATATTGAAAAACAAAAATCAACATTTTGCTATTTCAGTGCCATTTAGCAACCAGTTATGAAGTCATAAATCAATTATTTATGCGAGCGAAGCCACGGGTAAAAGCTAGTAGAAAATAAAAATAACTTTATTGCTAACTATTGACATGAATTTATACCATACAACAATTAAATAAAAGTACACAAAATTGCACTTATACCTTACTAATTGGCAATATAGCCCACACTCAACAAAGTAAAAAACTATGGGTGTTGGTGACTGTGAGCTAAGTCAGACTCACAGTCACAAATACCCATACTTCTTTACATAGTATAAAATGAAATAGCATCCGCTGTTTATTCGCTTGCATCTTTTAAATTACGCAACAGATTTTAATGCAGTTTTAGCAATAGTAATATTATGTTATCTGTGGCAATAGATAGCGTTATTCAAGAAAATAGTTATATATAAATAAAAGGAAAGTATATTAATAATACGGCTGTAAGCCGTGCGTATATAGCCGTGAAAAGCCGAGCGGGTAGAAAGCTAGTAATATTATTATTGTTAACAAGATTTCAAAAATTAAAATAACGCGGCGTAAAGTAAAATACTCCTGAATAGTATATCGAATTAATTGATGTTGTGTTATTTACTATAAAAATAGCTATATAAAATACATACATGATGCTTCGAGTGTAGAATTATATTACAAGAACAATATTACATTATTAATAACAAGTTGTTGGAAATAATTCATTGGAACCCCGATTAGGATTAGAGGTGATCCCTATTTATACTGGTCCACATTGATTCCCATGACGATACTGTGCATTATGTCTTCTGTTCGTTGTTCAATGGACACAAATATGTGTCCATTAGCGGCTTCTGCTTATTTAGTTATAGGTACCATAAACAATATATCCTTTGGGAATAAAGTTCGGCTGCACACCACAGTATATTTTAGGTACTTTGCTTTATTAGATAACCTTAAACAAAAAAAAGTGTTCTTACCTACGGGGTTGTTTCGGCGACTACTAAACCTTAAAGTTTATAGATTTGAATCCAATATATATCTACCAAACTATTTGTGCGTTAATTATGTAAAAAATTCTATTATCTGTGGTCAAACTATTTCTCCGGTTACGTAAAACATTAATAAATACGACAATAGACACGTGAATTCAAATATACTCAGGAAAATGTCAAATGGTGCGCTCTGGGCTGAAATATTATAAAAAGTATTGTAATAGTACTGTAATTAAATAAATATACATAGAAACATTACATTAATATAAGTCTTATAAAATGCACATTCAAAACAAAAAGAATGTGCATCTATTTCTATTTCTATTTCTATTTCAAATTTTGTGCATATGCCAAATTGTCAAATGGCATTTCGCAAGAATAAATATTAAATAAGTAGTTACTTAATTACTAAAATATGTTATAGTGATAAGAGGGACCACTCACTATTATTTATTGCACTCTATAGTAGATTGAAAAACTTTTTTTTCTGTAATTGGAATGACTAATAAGCTAATGGCCCATCTGATGATAAATGCTAACCCTGGCCTGTACATATGAAATCCACGATCATTACGTTATCACTTTAGGAAATGCCACTACACATACTATGTGGTTGTAGCCCACTCATGCATAAATGAAATATCTCCTTTGGAAAGTTTACACTCTTTCCTGAGGAGATAAAAATCACTCCTAAGAATGTCCTTCATGTCTTGTCCCTGACGGGACTAGGTAGCGAACTTTGAAAGGGCGAGCACAATAGATCTATGTAGGTCAGAGTGCTACAGGTCCATGCACCTGACAATAGCCCAAACAACTAAACAAATAAAAAAAATACGTTATCATGTAACGTCCGTGATAATTAGTATCGTTGCCATTTCAGAGGACCAAGATGTTCTTCTTGCAAACTTCTTGAGATCTGTAATAGATGAGAACGAGGTACCCACGCAGCCGACTTCTTAAAAATATACCTCGATAGAAACGCACTTAAAGCTAAAAGTTGCTTTACAATATACAAAATTGTGAAATCAATACATATGTAACTATATTTGCGAATATCCTGCATAATTGGAAACATTTTAAAATACTAATTAAATTAAAAAGTTTAACTTTCCGACAGCTCGATTAGACAGGATGAGGGATGCGGGTTCAAATTCCGTCGGCTTGATCTGCCAGAAAGTTGAACTTTTCAGTCTGATTAATATTAATAACACATCCTCGGCCTCGATGGTCTAGTAGTTTAGTACATGGTTCAGATTGTCGCGAGTTCGATTATTCGCACAATATCAACACTTGTATTCATGAGTATGATGGCTTGTATTGGTTTGGGTCTTTACGTATGTATTTACAAAAATAATAAACAAGTTCAGCTTCATAATTATTATTTATTATTATTATTCTCTTTGTGAAATTTAAAATTTTGTAAAAGTGTTCTTAATTCTTTGTAATACCAACTTGGTATAAAACAAATAGGAAGTTACGACTTTGTGAAAGCTTTCGTTTGCAGCCCCCACGGCCGTTGACCTCCTAAATAAACGACTGTAGTTCTAAAGTAGCACTACGTAATACCATAACTTCACAACATTTCAGTGTGTTATTTCCCTCAGTGGGCTCTTTTAATTACTGTCTGCCCCTACATGTATCATAAATTCTAATGGAGTATGTGCTCGTCCCTCACCGCATCCCAGTTGCCAGCCAAATTGCATTTTAGAATTTATACGTAAACAAACCACGATATGAGTGATCGAAAATTGAAATATTAATAAAGGTACGCAACAGATGGATTACATATAAATATCATCCTGTTATGCCACGTAGCTATATGTTATCAAAAGAACGAAGAAAATTTTAATTAGGAACGTGTAATTTGATTTTGTTTATCAGAGGAACGTATTAATAGTTGCAAATAGTAAGCTAACGATAAGCTAATGCTTGTCAAATAATAACGGAATTATAATCAATGCAAGCAAATTGCATTCGTTTTTAATAAGTTGAGCATACTACAGTCGAAACTACTTTCATTAGGAAGGCGATTTAAATTTTTTCCAATGTAATTATGATTAAATAAAAAATTTGATACCCTTTAGATGAACTAATACAACAAAATTTATCATAAAATTATTCGTGTTAAGACCCGATTGTACTGTGTATATTTATTATGTAGATTAAACAAAAAACCTTTTTTCTTTATAAAATATACTTTA